ACTGCGGAAAAATTGCTGCACGGAAATCGCACGTGGCCAACGAAAGCGGCGGAGAAAATAACGTTTCGTGCACGTGCGAATTATGCATCGCGCATGATTATTATGCAAAAAAAAAAATGCCAGCGAAAAATCGGAAACGCATGAGGATGTTCCGCCGAAGGGATCATGCTTCATCTCACGAGTATAGGTGATTCGGCGCGCAATAATATATGAGGAATCATCTGATTTAAATAATGCATATAATAATTATTTAGAAAGTCCACGCCAATGTATGGGAACAGTTCTAAAGAATATGGATGCGCAATTTAATTGCAATTCGATCGAGAGGGAGTTACTCTGAAAATTATATATCCATTATAAAGTAATTATTACTATTGGGTAATACTTACTTCATCATGTACTTAGTGGAAAATGTTATTTCAAAGGTCACTATACGTTCAGAAATTAATTGTTTCAGCATCTTTTATTTATTACCGCTGTTAATCTGGAAAATGCAATGTTTATTATATGTACAAATTATTATAAGTTGATAAAACTTTTATCAAAATGAAATTATATTGATATATATTGAAGATAATCTGCATCTTCTGAATAACTGAGTAACTAGTAGGTATTACCTGTTATAGAGATAAACGAACCTATACTTGTATTAAATCATAAAACCATTGTAGCTAAAAGCTATACTTATCTTAAAAAGTAAACAGAACTATACATATGCTTAGTTTAGTTATATTTAACTAAAAAAGTGAAGCTATAAGATATACTTATATCCCATGTATTCAAAACTTTTCTTAATTCATTGATCTATAGAAGTTGATTTATGCAACGCAAATATAAAAGAGTCTATGTGAATGTAAAAATATATTTTAATTATTGAATATACAGATATGTGTGTAATAGAAATAAGTTATGAGAAATATGGCGGAAGAAAAAGAAAGATTCTTTCCAATAATCACCCTCCTACCCATGTTGGGATTTAGGTCATCATGGTAAGAGAGTGAATCGTTTCGCGGTTACAGCATAATGAATTAAAATTACTGGTTGCGGCGACGAGACTTAAACACAAAGCATCGCTTTAAAGGCAAGAATTATTGTAATTACAACAATTTATTGTTACAGGGTACAGGCAATGGCACAGAGAATATCGTGTTCAATGGATCGATGGCGCTATCTAGTGATGCCTCTTTCAGGCATGTACATCCATCAAATGGTCTAACTGGCGACATCTTGAGCTCTAATAGGGACACTCCATCATTCCGTTGAGTTTCTGCATCGATATTTTATTTTAAAATAAAAAAATATTTTCATATATTGTAAAATTGAACGGATAATTACATTGCTTACATTTATATTAGTATCTTATGATATTATTATCTATTCTATTTTTTTCTAATTACAAAATGAGAAAGATATCCAAGCAGAACAACTAGCCCCGATAACATCAAATTGACATTAAAATAAATCGTTATTGATCGAAAAATAACTTTAAGTAATAAATTTGGAATCATTTTGACATTACATTTTAATATCATAGTGACTTATGTTCTGCTTGGAATAAATAATTGCTAAGACATAAATATAAAAGTTAAAAAGATATGAACATTAAATTTTATGTGATAAACTTAATATATATCAAAGTAAAATAATTTTTTAAATTAACACAGAATGCGCTAAAAAGAAATGTTTCAATAGAAGTTCTTTTGACTTGAAAATAAGGCAATTGATCTTTATATGATAAAGAATTGCAAGAGACTTTATCGACAGTGAAATGTGACAGATATATAAGAATAGACATGCTAGTGTTTCAAATGGAACCTGTTTACTGGCGCCTCACAATATGTAGAGAACTATGTAGGCACAAATATTTCAATGGGTAACATATAACTACTATCTTTAAATTTGTTTTGTGTTATGCATATTGATTCCATTCTGTGTTGTGTACAATGAATGCGAAGCGGGACCGCACCATATTCTTTATGCGAGTCGATGAGTTTCCGAGCGCTCGAGATTATCAGATCTCACAATGAACGACTGAATTAATCGATTAATTCAGTATTCTCAATTTATTCAAAATTTTAAATTATATAATAAAACTGTTTCTTTGGCCTATATATCTTACGAATGAAAATACAAAGTCCGAACTGTCAAATTTTGACAATAAGATATGTCATCATCATCATCGTCTTTAGAAACGTTGTCTGATTTACGTTTTAAACGTCAGATGGCATTCGCTAGTATTAATATAGCGTTTTCTCTTGGGATACACTGAGTGTAACCTTGCACTACACCAATTGCGTGTAAGTGCTGCACCAGTGCTGCACTATACACTAGTGTACATACACCATGGTATACACTACTTCATGCTATCGTGTTTAATCCCATTGCTGCCTGTTGAATTCCATTTTCAAATTTTAAACCATTCTTTTAAGATCGTATAAAATCCCACTTCGTGCATAAAATTTGCACTACACTATAGCCACGTTACACTGAATGAGTTTGCCTACTACCAACCAAGGAAACACACTGCACTGTCTGAGTGTTGTTCTGGTGACCGATAGTGCAACCAAAGAGAAAACGCTATTAGAAATATATCTTTGTTAAAAATATATTTAAAAAATATATATTTAAAGAAAAACAAACAAAATTATTTTTTTTATTGAAACAACCACAAATTATTATTTAACGATTTAAAATAAGTTAAGATCAAATAAAATTTGTTCTATCTGTAATCAAAAATTATGTATGCAATCTGTTCTGCATTTCGTCCTGCATTTCGTGGACTCGATTTCACCTCAATATATTATACTCGATGTCTGTAATTTTAAGCTAATTGGTTAACTTGACATCCGACACATTATCGTGTCTCCTGATTGATTGACAAGTTGCAATTAACGGTTTATATTCGTTTCTCGGAATTTTAAATTGATCGACAAGTTGCAATTAGATAGCCAAAAAAATTTAAGCACTATACAAGGTTAATTTCAATAAAAATATTTACCAAAAGTTTAAAATCTCGTGGGAGTCTTTAATTAAACATTTTATAATTTTTATTTATGTTTGCGTTTATAATAAAAAGTAAATCGTGTAAACAATTGCTTTTAATATGTATTTTCTAAAAACACCATTAAAACATTCGATAACTTTTTATATTTTTTAATGACGTAAATTATTAAATTATTTTATATAATTTTTATTTTTATAATTTGTTTTTATATACGCAATTATATTCTGTGAATATATTACGTACGGAATAGAACTATATACGTAACACAGAAGAAAATCGGAGACCATAGATTTATTACTTTCCAGACTATCCATGAATATACAGGTTGACGTGCATATGTTGTGCATATAGTTGTGCATTGAAGCTAATCAATAAGTTCCATCTAAAACTCGTGCACTCTTTGCCGATACTAAACGATTTCTTATCCAGTCCATCTACGTTTGAATATATTTTATATCTGAGAAATGATTACATGCCCATAAGATTTTGCTCTCTCGTTAATGATAACCGTTTTCACCTCGTACAAGGCTTAAGCTATCTAATAAGGAACGATGCTCACGATCATGATAACCGGACGTCACCACACATTTATTATATAAACGAAAACTATATTTTGTCTATGAATATTGTTTACCACTTTCCTATTTATCAGTATCTGTCGTTACATATCGCTCATCAACATCTCGTACTCATCTTATTAAACGATGCCTCGCGGTGTTACGTGCTGTGCGTCTTGAAGTTATTTATAGAGAAATGTGCATTTATATATGTCTCTCTCTCTCTCTCTCTCTCTCTCTCTCTAAACAGCTGTGCTTTTCTCTAAGGGTGCGTACCATTTGACTCTTATAACGCTCGCGAGCATCATTTGTCTTTGTATAATATTTGATAACAAGGATAAAATATTTCCCCGAGTGTTGTGACCACTTCTTAAATTAAATGGAACACAGCCTTCATATTACGTCGATCCTTAGTTGTTTTGTCCACGTACGTCTTTGGTAATGTTATAGAATATTGTTATTTGTCGCACAACTGACGCGAAAAGATAAGGGGATTCACATATGCAATTTCAGCGAACAACTGTCGCGCAAGTTGCCATGTATCGAAAAAGTTGATCCCTTATAAGTATCGGTTCGGCAATTTTCCAAGTCAAATTGCAAACGCCCGTAAAAACATAGTGTATCAGATTAAACAAAATACATACAGAAGAAGGAAATGGCAAAAAATTTTCTCTTCAATTTTTGCAACCTGTTTCTGTCTTAGTCTATAATTTTGATGTGAGTATATATATTATTGTATTAGGCTCGAGAATACTTTTTCTTTATTTTTTTATAATTAATTAATATCATTTTATTACTTCCTCGTTAATAGTATTATGTTTATAATTAATTATAATAAGTAAAAATCTTAACCTAAATGTGGCAAGGATTTTATTAATTAAACAAAATATATATCTAAAGTAAACTGTCTTTTCGTACTTATGATATATAATAATATACTAGTAATGCAAAAATTAATGTATGGAACATAACGTTTACTATAGAATTAATTACAATGAAAATTTATATTCGTTAAATTTTTTATTCGGAGTACAAACGGAGCAAAAAAAAGAGAAATAAAATTTTCTAGATTTTATTTTCAGGTAAATATTTGCACATTGAAGAACGATCGATAAAATTATTTGATTATGAAATATACAATATTATTAATCTGCATTCTAACAATTAGTATATTTCTGACAAATTGTCAAATTTTAATAATACATTGTACAATATTGTCATTTAAAACAAAAACTTCTTACAATTATAATAATATATAATTTAAAATATTGATTATTTGTTAAAATCTCTATTTGGTGCAAAAAAAATTGAAGAGGATGAATCTACTTATATAATATTATACGCATTTATTATTTTTAATCATTTCCCATCACCATATAATAACAAAAGCCGTATATTATTTAACTTCTCTAAAGCGACAAATCATTTCTGAGTTTTTGCTATTTTTCTTGTGCGGTTGCTGATCCAGTCCTTTTCTTCCTCTGCCAGACTTCATTTTCGATACTTAAATTAATTAAATAATTATTTTTTTAATCATCGATATACATATAATATCCGTTGTTACAAAAGTGCTAAGATTATTGCATAAAACTCAATAATTTATAAGAGCGTGTTTCGAACAATTTCCAATGAATAATTATATGAATATATAATATACACATACATACACACACATATATTGTATATTCTAATAAATTCTATTATTTTTAAGTATTAAAATTATATCAATTAGTAAATTAAATATTTTTTCCACAATCTGGTTTTGTATGAGTAAAACTTACTCATCGCTACCGTCCCTTGAATATCCAGCTAATGCTCGCCATAATTCCTTTGGACCTTCGATTGCTAGAGGAAAATTCTGCCAAGTCCATTCTTCAACTAACAAGAAAAAATAAGGCATAGAATTATGCAGTCAGATATAATACGAAAAAATATATCAATGAATGTCTGACCTTTTGAAGGATAATCTATACGCCTTTTAGTTAAATCAGAGTAAGTTTCTTGTTCGTCTTGCAGCAATAAGGGGTTGGTTGACTTAAAAAATGCAATTCAGGGATTATTTTGTATAATTATTATGTAACAATCATTACATAAATAAAATCTCAAAAGTATACAATAATACAACAAAGATTACAATAATTAGTTTCAATAATTAAATACCTTGTATTGACTGCTTCTACCAATTCGAGGAATATGTTTCTCAGCTTTATAAAAAAAATCTTCGAACCTTCCGCTTCGACCAACTCTAGGCAGAGTAGGGATTTTTGCGATTTTCAAGAAGAATGCCGGTACTTCGTCAGCAATTGTGATATTTTGACATATTAACAACATGACAGCTCCAATGAGAAAAGCTGAATATTCATGCACAAAAAATAATGAACATTTTAATATTTAAATAAGAAAGGCATTATTCTTTAGCCGTATTATAATTAGACGAGCACTAAACATACATTATCTTTGTAAATTTCTACAGCATGTAAATATATTGTGTGTGTTTAATTTACCATTAAAAAATATTCTTCCGATTCGTGGAGCGCACACCCTCGGCAGCATTATTTCGAAAAAGTAACCGTTCAGTGCCTGTAATGAATCAAACGCAGTTCAGTTTTCAAGAGCAACTTCACTCTTTGCACATCACACCGATTAAGGTCAACACCTTAGAATCGGTAACAATTAATTTAACAGATGAACGTGTGTCAATCGACGTGGCATTCTCGATCGCGGTCGACGCGGAAGTGACTGCCATAGAAACCTGCCGATTCTCGCGGAAAGGATGTGAGTCTCGCGGGCATTCGGCGAACACTGAGCGATTTTTCGCATACTTACGGCTTCTTCCATTATCGCGAAGAGTGGACCGGAGTGCTCGAGGATTGTGGGCGAAGGAGAATCGACGAGAAGTTTGCACGTCGTGAAACCTCATCGTATTTGAATCACGCTGACTGTTTGTCCTCGTTCGCGTAACACGCACAGAAATATTCAATCGCGCACCCGTGCGAGTAAAATGCATTCTATAGAACTGATGCCTCGTAGGATGTTACGGAAAATGTTTGACGCTATGCAATTGCATGAAAAGAAGTAAATAAAGAATTTCCGAAATCGCCAACGAGTGATTGAACGCCCTCAGTGAGAAATTGGAAATTCTATATATAGATACTTAATTTTTTCACATAATAGAGAGAAAGCAACGGCACTGAAAATTAATCTTTGTGGAATGATCTTGACCTTAAAAATAATTTTTTTAAATAGTTTTTTTAGATGTGCTGCGAACAATCTTGACCTTAAAAATAATTTCTTAAATAAGTTTTTTAGAAAAGCTGCGATAAAAATATCTACTGTTAAATTTTTAAATTCTGTATAAAGGGCATATATTATATATTCAGAGACATTTACTTTTCTATTTGAAAACCATGAGAAAGATATTGGTTATTCTAATTTAATATTACGGAGCTATATAAATAATATTCCCTTACCTGAAGATAAACTGAATACAATGAACTTAATTCCATCAAACTCAGGGTATTTATACTTGATTAAAGAGTAATTAAATATTTAGTTCATGTGCGTCTTGTAAATTAACATCAATGTGTTCGTCTTTAGTACTACCGAGAATAAATTTCTCGGCTGGCTTTTATCAGCGGAATATTTATCGTCCACAAGTGAAATACTTCATACTTTAATTTGACATAAATTCTTAACAAACTAAAAAAGAAAAACAATTTTTGTGCATTTTAACGTACGATACAATTTACGTACAATTAATTTAATGAATAAAATATGATTATTATTGCATTACTTACTTGACAATAAAATATAACATTGTAAAAGCAAAATTTCTTTATCAATACGACTTTGTTATTGCAGTTAAATGCTTATAAGTAGAATATTTAAATATAATAAATGAAATATTGTACATATATTTATAAAGCGATAAAATCAAATACATGTCAATACTTTTGCAGTTGTTTCGTATTGCATGTTTTTTCAGCCGTAGACAATAGACTATAACCCTTATTCAGGCAGGTGAATGGCACGTGCTTTCAATATTAAATCGCTTCTAATTTATATTTAACTGAATTGCAATGAACTCTTATAATTATTGGAGAATTACTGAAATTAAATATTTTATTAAATATACATACATACTTTATTACTTTAAACATTAAACTATTTTAAGAGTTCTGATCGGTAATTACTTTATCACATAATTATTTGAAAAATTGTCGTGATATTACTTTATAATAATTTAAATGAAAATAAAAATAAATAATTATTATACTTCGTATAATATTAAATCTTCGACGGCAATATAAATTTTAATATTTAGTAATAAAAGTTTTTAAGAAACAGCAAATTTTTTATCGTTTTGGATATAAATAAATTTTAGTATACTTGTCAAAATAATGAGTTTTTATTATCTTAAAAATGTTGGATTGTATTTTATTTACTTTTACAACTTAAATTTAGCTACCAATATTCACAATGGAAGTATTAATGATGCTATTATTTAAAAACTTTAGTTGCCTGCCGAGGATTAGTTAATACTTTTATACCTTTTATGTAATGTGGAAGATAGAAGGTAAAAATAATTAAATACTGATTAGCTCTTGAAATCATAATACTTTATTTGGGATACTTCTGTTAAATAAAGCTAGATCGAGGAAGCTTAAACCATTACAATTACAATATTGTTTATGTAATTATGTATAAAGTTACGATTAGATACACGACGCGTAATGAAACGGTTATTGATAGAAGACAATGTGACGAACTTTCAAGTGCATGATTGCAGGTACTTTACAGGAATCGGTTAGTTACGTTATTTCATGGGTCGATCAGTCGGCGAGAATCATGGATTGTCTCGGTCGGTTTTATATCTTCAGTTGGATTCTTGATGAGACAACCAAGCGGTGCAGGTTTCACTAGCGACTTCGCAAATCGCTGATAGAGCGCGACTTGTAACTTCATAATCTGAAAAGAAAAACGATTTATTGATTATCTTTTAGGATATAATTAGAAGTAATCAGTTTCAATATAAATCGGTGCAATAAAATTATACAAACTGCAGTTTTTTGTAAGCGAACGATATTTTAAGAACGAAAAATTATAAAATAACGTAAAATAGAATGTAGAATATAGCAGATAAAAGTTTGAGAGGCATAAGAAATACAGATTTGATTTAAGTATTTTTATATAATAATTACTATATAATAAAATTATGTTAATTGATATTCTAATGTAAACCATTTAACAGATTGAGTTGGTCTTATTTATTTATGTTAAATATTAAAGCTTAACATAAATAAATTTATTTTAAGCTCTAAAATTGGCCTTTTTTCTTTATAAAATTAAAATTTTTTATAAGTATTTTTTTTTTATAAAGATGTGCTTACCAGTTACAGTGTTAGATCGTTTGCCGAATATGCTACCGTTGAAAGGTGGTTTTTTGTAGGCAGCATTTGCACTGATGACGAAAGCTACCATGATAACAGCGAGAGCCAGGATAAGGCGAATGGAAACCATGTCGACGCGTTGATCTATTTTCGTCTGAAATAAAAAGTAAAGAATATTCGTTGAAAATTTATAAAACACTTTTTAATTATTGTTTTATTTTATTTATTGTCATAAATAAGTAATCAGTTTAATAATTAGAAATATGTAGTAATAATAAATTTTTAAAAAGTTTATAATAAATAAATTTTAATATGAAAAAATTTACTCTTTTTTGAAAGAACGAAACGAACTGTGTGATCCTTAGAAGATACGGTCACTGAATGTTACAAGCGACGCAAAAGCTGTGAGCTTTTATACTCGGGAAAACGATTCGAAGACAAATGTCTCTATCAAACGCAGTCGACCTACATTATTTGCAAGTAACGTCACAAGTTCGTCCAAGAGGGTATTGATTTATCATGGAATATCAAAATTCGTAATAACTGACGGTGACTAACTTGTGCGTAAAAATATCACATAAAGTCACTCTATAAACAAATATTATAATCTTTTTAAGACCGATGTATTGATAAACAATAATTAGGAAGAAGAAAGCCTTAATATCGGTTAAAGCTAGATCAAGAATGCTTTATAATAATTATGTGTGAAATTTATATACCGAGTATGTAGTCTCTTTAATCGTGTGCCGAAAATTTTTTCAGACTTACAACGCAACTCTAAACAACTACCGCGGTAATATCATATAGTTAAATTGACAAGCAATCTAACAATTGTTGATGCTTATAGCATCTTATGGATCTTAATATGTTGAAAGACATATATTAAATTTTTAACGATGTAATGTTGAAGTAATGAGCAGTCGAAATCTATGAAAAGTAAGATTTGCGAAGAATACAAGTTGGCGTTTCGTCCCGGCTTCCACTACTGGACTCATCAGTAAAATGACTCTATAAAATTGAAAAATTATTGTTTTTCATCAGAAAAATCAGAAATTTTAGTATGTCAAAAGATTTATTTAAGTATTTACGAAATTTATATACAGAGGAAAAAATATATAACGTAAAAATAAAAAAGACTTGCATTTATATTTATTTGTATATAGTTATTGTAATTAAAATTGTAATGTTTTTACCTGAATAAACGGGATGTATCTGAGAGATGGTACTCGACTGATGCCTCTTCGGTGGTTGAAACGGCTTTTATAAGAGAGTAGACTATGTTCCAAGAATGTAGTGTGTGTGAAAAAGATAATAACCTATCAGAAAGTGTAATATGATTAAAGACCACCCTGATTGCCTTTTACTGCAGGGAAATAACACAATGTTTCGAACGTATCACATAGATCATATATCGCGGAGAAACTTAATAAAATATCATAGTTATTATTAATATTAATATCTATTTTTATTTAACACCGTTTTTAAATAATTATATTAAAATACTTTACTCTAAAGTACATTATTAACAGAGAGATTAAAGTTTTATTATTTTATTGTTTATGTGATTTTGAAAAATAAAAAGTACAGTTTCTTCAGTGAGTATGCTTATTAAGAAAGTAATTTTTTAGTAATTTAATTTAAGTGTAATTTACACGGAGCGACTTTTATTCTTTAGAAGCCACGTCTGGTGACATTAATTTGCCAGCGAATTTTCTCGACTTTGCTGCTATTCGTTTGAAGTAAGCTTTTTAATTCGACAGCGAATTCACTGATGAAAGCTTCTTCTACACGTTTGGTTTTTATTTGCTAGCGAATAAAATTTTGAAATCGCAGCGTCATATCGAGTGAAAAAATTCGTCTTTTCACGACAACTTAAAAATTCGTTCTGGAAGAACAGAAAGAAGCTAGCAACAAGCATCGAAAGCGGTATTCGCCGCGACTATACGCTAGCAAGAGCAAACTCGCGTCTAGAAGTTTTTAGTAGCGAATTCGCTATGACATCACTAGACGCGGCTTCTAGCAAATAAAAGTCGCCGCGTATAAATTACGCTTTAGTCTTTATAATATTTATATTTAATATAATGTGAATATGTTAGCTAAAGGAAATATAAGGAATTGCAAATTGTTCGTGCTATTATTTAAAAAATTATCTTCTTGATATATATATATATATATATATATATATATATATATATATACCAGTATGTGTATAATTTTGATAAAAAGTGTGAAAAATTATTGATTAGTAGAATGGGTAGTTAGGTAAATACAATTCTTTCTTTAAAATTAAAGTATTATCAATAAATGGTATTAAAATAGTATCTGTATCTATTGTTGATATAACATCAGAGCTAGTAATCTAAATTGAAAGTTCTAGGATTTTGTCGATACCGTTCGTGACAAGTAAGGTATATCATCGATAGATAAGATACTGTTGCCTTCCCTACGTATGATACTCTCATCGCGTCCGTCGATAAAAGGCTTTACTATATTTTCAGCATATAATATAGCAGTCAGTACTCTTTTAATGTATTAATTTTTTATTATAAATGTTTTAAGAAAGATTATTTTTTAAATTAATATTGTTGCAAAAATGTGTTATATTATTAGTTACAAGACACTTCAATTTTTATTAACAAAGTAATAATACTAAAATAATAACAGAATTTTTTAATTTTGTTATAAACAACATTTTTATTATTACATAGCTAAGTATATAATATACATTAAACTTTTGCAACATATGTGTATACATTTTACAATATTGACATAAATAATATAAATATAATTAAAAAGTTTGTGTTTTAACAGGAGCTGAACCGTCTGTATGAATCAATGCATGAATATTTTAAGCAGTTACTTTATTTAATTAAAAAATTTTTTTAAATAATAGCGCGCACGTACGTTTCACTTGCATAATATTATATCACATGTTAGTTACAAAAAGTGATTGTTATAGATTATATAATTATAAATGTGTAGTTAGAAATACGAGAGAAGTTTGATATGACATTGTATCTTTCTTTTATGTTAGTACAACATGTATAGACTAGTACGAATATTTATATGAATATAATTAATATATATGTATATGTATACAGTTAGGTAATTATATAAATAATTACATATATATTATAATGTAAGATAATCAATTATTAGAGCCAAATTTAATCACGCTCTCGATGATCGATCGATTTCTCAATACGATTATTATATGTACATAATAATTAAATTACATTTGTAACATTCTTCATAGACACTCAACAAGTAACAATCCATTTAATCATTATTCTTGTTCTTTTTGTTTATCTATTGAATTATAAAGTTCTCACAGTTAAAACGTACATGTATTTATCGATTGAAAACCGAGAGCGCAATACGATTAAAAATACATCGTATAGGCATATTAGAGTCTACGTCTTATTGTCGCGTCACAACTTTTTCTTCTTAATTTGGCACGATAAACAAACACGCCGTCGATTACTCGCTCTGTACGATCAATACAAATAAATAGTTATTTTACAAGGTTAATAGTTTTTGTATATCGACGACGTATTGATACCGGCCAAGACTTATCGCACTAAACAACGAGTAAATTATCTGCGCCTTATCAATATACACTAATCGGTTAAGTAATATCATATAAAGCGGTTGCCAAGAAACAGTAATTTAACTACAAAGTATGGAAGACATGGATTTTGTTTCGTTTGCTTATTTACATATTGTATATTCTATCGTTGTATAAAAATTAATTGCTTTATGTAAACTATAATTAGCGCGAGAATGCACGTGCATATCGTGCGCGCATATAAATAGAATTTATTGCATAATACACATATCACACATCGATGTCCTGCTCACACGTCGCAAGCTTTTTGATCAAATGTTTATTATATCTCAACATAGATGTATATATCTATAGATATAATTAACTTGTTTTAATAAAAAATTGTAATTTTAAGCACATAATTAATAAATTTTTTGTATTGAAATGATTAACTTCATTAAATTTAGATTCTTACTGTTTGGTAAAGATTATCTATTAGAGAACAAGTATCTACTCTCATTTATAATTATCGAAAGATTATTTATTATTAGGATATTTTTATAAGATAATTAATATATACGAAACAAAGGATATACAGAAATATTTTCGTTTATTTAAGTTACGTATTATACTCAGTAGGCCAGGTCTATGACACATTATACAATATGATATTATAAGAATGTAATAATAATATCTCGTAGAATATATTATTAATATTTCATTACTAGTTGCCTTTGAGGTATTGTAATAACAGTTAAATCGAATTAAATGCATTTAATTATACATGTTCGTAGCAATCATGTTTCATTGCACTATATTTCTTCGGAAAATTACATATTATCTGAAATACTTGAAAGGATTGAGTATCAATTAAACCGTGTGAGATCGACGAAAATTCCAGCGTCATATTTTCTGAGTCAAAATAGAAATATAATGCAATTCCGTGTGAACTGGACCTGTGCAGAACTGTCTTAAGCCTAAAGCGATTATAATATATTAAACATTAAGTGAAAAATCTTATCATTTGTCGTAACTTAATATTCTATAATTATATTATTTTACACATATTTATATTAATACGTACCAGTTAATTGTTTGCCATCAACTTTCTTAGTTTCTTCCATAATATTTTTTTTTACTTTTGTATTTTTCGTTAAACTTTTTGTACAGACTATGTAAAAATGAGAGTAAAAATCGGCAAATAAATATAAATATGTATAAAAATATAAGTATATATAAAAACGGAAAAATATAAAAGTATATATAAAAAAGATGCACATATATTAAAAATATAAAAAGATACAGTTCTATAAATGGAATATTATGTAGAATGACAAAAGAATTTTTTTTTTTATAGCGCTTGAATTATTACAATCTAACAATAATATTATGTAATTTTTAGAATTACGTATGTAACAATGTATTACAATAGATAACAAATGATTAATTATCCAAAAATAATAATTTGTTAATTTCTCCAACGTATTACGGTTATGCGTTAAACTGCTGGGACAAAAATTAATTTATATAACAAAATCGAAAGGAAAATCATATAGTCTCAAATTACTTCTATTTTACGTCTTCCTGATTACGATGAGAAACACTTTTTTAACGTAATGGATTAACTATAAGCTAACGATTAATGCAAAATATGAAAATTTGTGCTCTTCACGCGAACTCTCTCTCCTATCTGTTATTTTTGTCTATGTATGTTTTATAATTGTTCAGCTTTTTTCCATTTCACAATTTTATCATTATCGACAGACTTCATCATTATCAAGCTTGGTATTGCACGATTTTGAGCAACTATGTTTTGTTTCACTATGTTCACCTAATGTTGGGTTGTCTTGATCCTGATGGGAGGAAGCTTCGGCAGTCTTCTCTTTGGACGAGTCTAGATTTTCGGGAAGTGGCGATTCGCGTTTCCTTATATTTATATAATCCCATACGTCTATGTTTTCATATTTCTTCGCTTCTTCATCCAATTTTCCTATAGTTTCGTCGTTCAATTCTTCATCGATTAATGTTTCATCATTTATTTCACTCTCGTCAACATCTCGTCTTACTCGTTCGTCATTCGATTGTACATTAGTACTATCTCGGGCTATACAAGCTGTCTCTAATTTTCCAGAATTTATGGAGACGTCCTTGAACAGTTCGTCACGAATCTCGCATAGGATGATTACGTCAAGAGGTGAATCGAGAATCGTAGTCATGATATCCTTCGCCAACTCCTTTACCAGAAAGTTGAGCCGCCAACTTTCGTGAAGGCGCATAGTGTTCGGACTCAAGGGTGTTAAAGCATCACAATAACATCCTATACTTGCTTCGAGGGATGATCTCAGAGCAAAACAGTTGACTTCCGACGGGATTGATAGATCGTAATTGCACAGTTTCAAACAGTGGCCCATAATAGCAAACGCCTGGTGCTCGTCGCTGGTGGACTGGAGCCTGCAGTTTACCTTGGGATATCGGGGAAATAGTATCAGATCCCTCTCTTGCTCGGATTCAGTCTCTGCCCCGGGATTGCAGAGTAGGGCGCAAGCGTCGACCGTGAGAGGCCTTGGCACGCTCGTGGCGCGGCCCACCAACGCCAACACCAACAGGAATATCCAACAGAACGTAGGCGTCATCTGAAAATGATGGCTAATCAATATTCTGAAGGGGATGCAGCTCCGCGTTCCGATGCCGGCTTATTGGAAGGGATGTATGGCTAAGGAGGAATTCCTAGAGTCTGACCGCGCTCCCGCATGTATATATTCCAGAATAGGATTTCGGTAGCCGCTATTGTGTATTGGATAAACTAGGATACAGATGAGCTTAACAATTGCGAGATTTTAGTTGATATAATTAACGTTAATAAATGATTATTGCGGGTATTGAATATGCGATTTCAGCGTCGTATTACTTTAAAAATTTCTTATGTTGATTTTGAAAAACCGTTAAATTATGTGTGACAATAAATTCATTTTAATTTTTAAATCCAAATTGTTATAAAGAATGTTTTTAAAATAGTATAAAATTTAATAGCACACTCTACTCACTTTTATATATAATACGGAAAAGATGATTTAATTTCCTAACACTTCCTCTAATAGTTTTATTAGAATGTTTAGAAATAAAAATCTCTCTCTCTGCTGTTGAAACGAATGTTCCGTACAGTTTAAAGTATCCGTTGAAAGTGACTTTGCTCACAAAGAGATACATACACCACCGTTTGAAATACAAATATCTGTTATGACACTCACAACTGATGGTTTTATAGTTTCATTCCAAGCAGGGCCGATCTTAGCATTAGTAGAGCCTAGTGCAAATAGATGTTTTCTTTGAATACAGTATTAATATTTTTTAATTAGCAAAAAGTAAGAGAAAAAGATTTCAAATATATAGTGTTAAGAAACAGAATATATGATAAAGTTTCTTGTATAGCTACAAGCTTAGTAACATTTTCTGAAATAATACGAATGACGTATTTTCGTTCAGTTCTGGAAAAATTTCAAATTGACATTTTGAGCTTGGCATCTCAAATTTTCGTTTCCAATACAGACAGATTATACAAATTGAACATCTTTTAAGATGTATTTAATTACAACACAAGCTATTACTGTTCGCCTAGAAGAAAGTGTCAATAAATCATAGGGAGTTAAAAAGAATCAGAACATAATCATGTGTATGTAAATGTTTCACTAATAGTTTAAATTGGAATTACAAGAATGTCAAACTATTTATCATTAATGATTTTTTAGATAATAGTGGCAAAAAATGCCAAATATATTGATCCGTTTTAAATACTTTTTTTAACACAACAAATTACATAAATATATTTTTAAAAAAATTTTCATTACTATTTCTAAAAAATATAATTCTAAATGAGTTTTCTTTTTTAAAAAGCATTAAATTAAGAAATATTTATTAGCTAAACAATTATGTTTATATAAACTTTTTTATATAAAGAAAATAATAATATTTATATGTTTATATATATTTTGATTAATCACCTTTAGTTAATCACCAACAAAATATTAAGCACTCAGAGCTGGGCTCTATAGATTTAAAACAATTTTAACTGGAAAACAATATTTGTGAGATAATTACATTTCGTATTTATATTTTTTATTTCAACGGAGGACATGAAAATATTTTGTATTTTATAGGATTATATAAAAGTATTCTATATTTTGTATATATTTAAAATACTAAGATTAACAATCAATTTTATTATTTGAATTATAAGATATAATCAATTAAAAGTACTTTTATAATAATTTTAAATACAAAATACGTAATGCTTTTATGCGCTGCTTTGAAAAACAAAATATACAATACATTTTTATTACAAATATTGTGTTTTAGGTAAAAGTATTTTAAATACATAATGCCAGCCCTGAATGTACTTAAATGTTTAAGATCATGAGATGTTTCCGGTCACGCTCTTTATGAGATAACCATTCGCCTATTGAAGTATAAAAAGTAACAAGAGGCGTTACCGAAAACATCTCATGATCTTAATAAGCGTATATTAATGTTTCCTTGATTATAGCTCCAAAGCATATACATATTTGAATGTAAATGTTTAAGTATTATGATAGATTTTTTTAAGTAAATACGTAATGTGTGTACGAACACAGTTTAATACATTAATTTCCAATTTATAGAAAGAAATTTATAGAAAAAAAATTGCCACAACCAAAAATAATAACAATTTTCGCTTATCAAAATTTGGTTGCGTAAAAGATAGTCATATCTTTACAGCTATATTCATTGAGATATGTCAATCTTACGGTTATCACAAGTATACTATAGTCCTTATACATATAACCAAAAGATGTATTGATGGGCGAATTTTGATCAGGTATAATAGTACATTACAAAAATCTGATTAATTATTGCACAATTTTGTTAAAAAGTAATATATAATAACTGAATATAATTGAATGTTAATAAATGTAATATTTATAAATAAATTGAATTATTTGATTACAGACTACCATCACATTGTAATACATTTACTCATACTCTATAATATGCAAACTTAAACAATTTAACTGACAATACATACCGTGTTGTTAACAGTTAAATTATATTTATATATTTCATATACACTTTTACTAGAAAAACTTTCTAATGTGGATACAAATTTATAACTTGAAAAAACCTACTAAAAAAGAATTAAATTAATCAGTAATCCTTAAAATAATTATTAATTATTTTAACTAAATATAAATTATCGCGTGTCACTACTTATACATACGTATAAATCTTTATATATTTTATTTTATAAAGCGAATTTAAATTACTAAAATAATTTGTTAAAAATATATACTTGACATAAAAATATTTGCACATATATATAAAAATATACTGCACGCGTGTGTTTACGAGATTTTAAATCATTTTAAAAATAATTTTAAATTTTATTTCTATAATTGTAATGTAATTTGTTTCATAATAACAGAATGCGCTCGCATATTTCGGTTTAATTATTTAAAATTATCGAATCAGAAAACGAGATTAAACTTATTGACTCTATTGTCAGTTAAATTGTTTGAGTTTGTATATATAGAATATGATGGCAGTCTGTAATCAAATAATTCAATTAATTTATAAATGTTTGATTTATTCTCTACCGTAAATTTAGTATAAGAATCGTATATGAAGGATTCAAATTCGTATATGAAAGACATACGAATCATATCCGTATGCGATAACATGTTAAGTAATTGCATGATCGTATACGATTTGTATACGATTTGTATACGATTCGTACAAGATTCGCATATACTTCATAAACGATCGGATATGAATCGTATGTCTTTCGTATACTGTTCACATACGATCTTATACAAATCATATCTCATTTACGTATACCATGACATGATTTTGTCTTATGCGACTTTCACGGTAGGGTTTACATTCAATTATATTCAATTATTATACATCATTTTTTAACGAAATTGTAATAATTAATCAGATTTTTATAATGTACAAATTTATTAAAAAATTGGAAATTTCTGTTATTTACAAAGGATTTAATTTATCAGTTTCTATATATTGTCGAAATTTATCTCAAATTCATACTTTAAATACAATAAAAAATTTTTTATGTTATTTATGTGTCTAAATATTTAGAAGTATGTTTTATATTGTATAATAGAAACATTAGAAAAGTAAATTTCCTACGTCATAATTCTTATTAATTTTAAATTATTTATTATTATATTATATTAAATAACACGATTTATTATTTTTTTTAATTTTAAATTGCCTAACTGTCCACAGATTAATTTATCAAAATAAACAGAAAATTACTTTCATAAGTTTAACATTTTAATTTTTTAAAGCTATTAAATTTGAAAGTTGGATGACTAATAGATAAAACATAAAATAATGGAAATTGTAATTTTGAGAGCAGAATAAGATTTAAATACTTTATCAAATAATAAAAATAAATAGATATTTAATGATCAAGTAAACGACGATTATGTTTTCTAAATATACAAGAAAATATATTCTATTATCAAAATGCAGCGATATAGTATTGTCAAAAATTATATATTGTCATATTGATTTTTACGGAATTATAGGAATAATATCAATCATAGATCAATAACGGATAAATTATTGAAAGCACACGCACAGGACGTATTTGCATTTGAATCGGATAAATTAAGCTTGACTTCCACTTGCCAGCTTAATTTCTTTCTTTTTTCAGATAAATTGAATAATTTAAATTTTTTAGTAAGAAGTAACTGAAGAAAGAAATTGTGTGTATACATGCAATTAAAAAATTTTAATTTGCAATATTCTCAATTCTTCATTTTAATCTTTATTCTTTATATTATATTTAATACATTTACATAAATTTTTGTGTTTGACGATGTTGTAATAAATTTGTAAATTTGTAAATAAATAAATTGAAAATTAAATGCGCGTGTTACAAATATATTGTACATCATGAAGTTTACATGAAAAAAAATTACAAAAAGCAGCATAAGCAGTTATTAATTATAACGTAACAATTTAACTTTTGACAGGAAATAAATTCTATAAAAATCGCCAATGATTAATTATTGAAGGTATCGGAATTTTCTAAAAACCTAATAAAAATATCTATTAAAATACTTACTATAAAATGTTTGACAAAAATATGTTACATTTAATATTATTCTATAGAAGAAATAAAGAGAAAGAAGTAGATATAGAAGTATAATATTACAGTAAATTAATGTCAACAAATTTTTATTAGTAATAGGTGTAATATGTTTAGAAGAATCCTTTTCCGAACACTACATGGAGTGTCAATTTAATTTAAGTTTCCCGAGAAATAACGAATGGAAAGATAGTCAGAGCATTTTTGTGATTGAGTTGCTCTCTTTTAAGAACGAAAGGTGGGATCGATGCTGTCCATGGTTCCGTTAAATCGGCGACCTACTCCTTTTCCTGTCAGTCATGGTGAAACAACTTAGATCTCCTCTTTAAAACAGTCACTTCAAGTTGATAGTTGCTGCTCGTAGAAACTTCATACTAAAGCTTTTCAAGCGGCAATAATGCTCCTTCTTGTTGATATGTCATGACAACCAAGCTTGTGAACAACGACATTGTATCAGAACATAAGTACTGTCTTTCACTGTGACTGTAGAAATTCATACACACGGCTATTTAATTGAAATCCAATTTAATAACGATAATGTTGTGGTTTAGTAGGGGATTAATCTTATACATATACCATAAGTACCTATTATAATCAGATGATTTAACGGAATCAATCAGATCAAACGAATTGCATTTTAATGCAATTATTTGTTTCTTAAAACACTTAAAAAATTGAACAATGTTATTTTAATAAATTATAATGATTAATGGAATAAAATTATTATTGGAATTAATTTGGGGCGCGAGATTATTTAATCATGTCACATAATTTACTTATCATATTTGGAATAATTATACGTATTAACGGTTTAATACGTGTTTCATCGGCATATAATCGATACATTCACATCATATTATTTCAAAAGGAAAGAATAATCAATTAAACAGAAAAAGTGCAATTATTACAAAACAATTAATTAAAACATTAATATAAAATTTTACAGTTTTGGTATAAATGTATATGTATA